GGATATGGATCAAGATATGTTGCAACTCAATTGTTTACATTTTTGAATAGCACGGGAATAATAAATCGAGTTTAATATTGAGTATATAGATATGAGTCTGTCGCTGCATATTCATGTAAGTACTTTAGTGAGGGTCAGGGTGGGCATATATTCATCATACACGTCATTTGATGTGTTGAATTCCCTCTGACATCACTGAAGACCACACTCCAGTTTGGTAGGTGGCGGTAAATGCTCCTTAAGTTGGTTGCCAACCACCAATAAAAACCAAAAGAAGAAGAAGAAGAACAGCATTATATGTACTGACAATGTTCTGCTTGATAGAGTCTATTTTGTTCACAAAGTAATCAAGAAAACCATCACAGGTAGACTGTGTAGCAGTTTTCAGAACATTGATGGAGGGATTAATGACAGACTGAATGGTATTAAATAAAACCCTTGGTCGGTTACAGGCCCTTTTGCCTAGTTCAGTGAGGACTGAACTAGGCAAAAGGGCCTTCTCCTACTCCGCTCCTGTTTCCTGGAATATCTTACAAAAAGATTTGAAGCTCTCGACCTTTGACCTCTCTAAGTGTCTTTAAGAATCTGTTGGACTCCTGGCAGGGTCCAATGCAGACATGTTCCTGTTTTTAGTTTTCTACATTTGTCTTGGAATCTAGCTGTTTTTTGTTTTGTTACCTTTTTCCTTTTAGCCATCCTATTTGTTAAAAAAAAACAAAAAACTGTAGTATGACTTTTTATAACTGTTTATTGTTGTTGCTGTTGTCCATTGTTGTCTTCATTCTTTGTTAAATCAGGTCTCTCTTGTAAATGAGTCCTCGAGGCTCAATGGGACTTATCTGTAGAAATAAAGGTTGATTGATACAACTGGTAGAAATTAAATTGGAAAGATATTGTGATTTGGCCTGCTGAACAGCTTTTTGATCTTCATGAAGACAGTCTCTCAGTATGTCCTGGGACACATGGAGCCTGTCTTTCTTCCTTCTGCGTTCTGCTTTCCTGCAGCGTTGTCTAAAGGTCCGAGTGGTACCATTAAGCCAGGGATCTGGCTTGATTTTTGTAGAAGTCTGTCTTAAAGGAGCAATGGAGTCCAAGATCTTTGTAGAAGTGTACTGAAAGGAGGTGATAAATTCTTCTGGATGTAGAGATGAGTCCAGACTTTCAGCGGAGTAGAAGTCAGTGCTTCTAAACGCAGCAGCAAACTGACCTGGAGTGGAGGGAGTGATGAAGCGGCAGCGACGTTGCTAAGAAGCACTAAGTTCTTCCTTAACTTGTATATTTTATTTCCCGAGTGTGGGGTTGTGAACATTTGGTTGGGTGTCAAAGTAATACTGAAATGTTTGTTACCATGTGGGTGTGTCCTCTGTGGCAGCCATCTTGTGTTCCAGCTAAAGGGGAAGCCCGCCTCAAACCCAGCTCTTTTATAGGAAGTGAGCTGATGAGAGCAGGAGTTTGATTGGTGAATTGAAGGAAAGTCAAAGTAATCAATTAAAAAGAATAAATTGTGCATCTGTATACATGAAATGTTGTTCAATATTTCATTACGCAGACTCTCTCACTGGTACATTTTCATCTTTAAATCACTTCTTGGTCTGCTGCCTTCATACATCTCCTCCTACATGTCTCTGCGTGAGTGCAGCTACGGAGTGCGCTCTCAGGACATCATTACCTGCAGTGTTCCCTCAGTGAGGACTGAACTAGGCAAAAGGGCCTTCTCCTACTCCGCTCCTGTTTCCTGGAATATCTTACAAAAAGATTTGAAGCTCTCGACCTTGACCTCTCTAAGTGTCTTTAAGAATCTGTTGGACTCCTGGCAGGGACCAATGCAGACATGTTCCTGTTTTTAGTTTTATACATTTGTCTCGGAATCTAGTAGTTTTTTTGGTTTTGTTACCTTTTTCCTTTTAGCCATCCTATTTGTTAAAAAAAAAAAAAAAACTGTAGTATGAGTTTTTATAACTGCTTATTGTTGTTGCTGTTGTCCATTGTTGTCATCTTTCTTTGTTGAAATCAGGTCTCTCTTGTAAATGAGTCCTCGAGGCTCAATGGGATTTACCTGTATAAATAAAGGTTGATTGATTGATTACCCATAAATAATTGTTAATGTTCAGATTGTTTATGTGATAATGAACTTTGTTGTTTTTTTTCATTCTGGAAGGCTGAGATGACTGGCCAATTCGAATTGAAGGCGGGGTCTGACTGGGTATACATATGGGTGGACTGCTGAATGTACAGGAAGAGAGTCTGATGGAAGGCTTGTCATTTTGGGAGCTGATGTGTTCTTTTTATGCCTGGAAACATTAAACCAACCTTGTTTGCTGCCCATCCAAGACAGACTGATGTCTCCTCTTTTCCACGCGACACTTCTCTGTGTGACAGACGTGCTGGAAGCATAGTCTTTACCAGGGGAGGAGTGGAAAATTCAAATATAATAGGAAAGTGGTCTGAAATACAAGTGTCCAAAATTTCTATAACAGATACACGAAGGCCGTGAGAGATGATCAAGTCCAATGTATGACCATGACTGTGTGTGGACCCTGACACAGATTGTGACAGGTTAAAAGAATCCAGAAGGCTTTGAAAGTCAGCAGAAAGTTGGTTACAGGGACAGCAAACATGAACGTTAAAATCACCAAATAAAAGCAAACTGTCAAATTTTGGCAATAGTTCAGCTAACAGTTCTGAGAACTCATTAATGAAATCCTTATTATATTTTGGAGGGCGATATAAAACACCACACAGCAGGGGGTGTGCAGATTCCATCACAAACAGCTGAAGCTCAAAGCTGCTGTAGTTTTTAGGAGACAGTGGGCAGCAGGTGAGTTTATCCGCCCCCAAGGCCAGACACACGCGGCGCACTCAGGTAGGAGGAGCCAGGTGGGAGGAGCTCAGAAAATGCACTGTTGTCCCCTGGTTTCAGCCAGGTCTCAGTCATCAGAAATAAATCCAAACGATGAGTAGAGATCAGATCGTTTAGCATAAAGGTTTTATTTGAGAGCGATCGGGCATTAAACAGGTGCTGCACATGCTGGTACACAGCCGATTGCGTCATCAGCCGCTCGGGCAAGCGGGCGGAGGTTCTGTTGCATGCAGGCCCCCCTCCTGGTCCCCACAGAGCGACAAGGTGGAAACTGAAAGTTGACGCCAGGATTAACAGGAACGAGGCATCGATGATGATAAACCAGGGAACGACGGAGGTCTAAGATGCCAAACTCTGAAGGTAAGTCCTGCAGTAGAAGCCGATGATCAACTGTACTGTGAAAGGAAAGGTAGAATTTGAATTTAACGAGGACCCGCTCTCCTTCCACGTCTTCTGCGGCATTTGTTGCGTAGCAACGTCCCGATAGTGCGGCGTAGATAGGCTGGCACAGACGCCAGGAAGGGCGGTGGTTTCTTAAAATGTCCAGTTTTACCAAAAACCAGTGCGTTGTTTAGTGAATCCTGGATCTTTAGCAGAGTTGAGCGGTCGTACGCTAGAAGTGAGGATACATCATGGATGAAGAGAAGACAAAACACGAGTAACTTTAACAAATTCAGGAGAGGGAGACTGCATGCCATCAACAAAGGCGCCATCTTTTCTGCCATCAATAGTCCAGTCTAGACGTGACAAATGCATGGACCAGTTTTTCTGCATCATCTTTAGATCAGATGTTTCTAATGTTAGTGATATTACGCAGGTGGAAGAAGGAGGTTCTAGTAACGTTTTTAATGTGGGGGATAAAAGACATGTCCTGATCAAAAATAACACCAAGATTTTTAACATTAGAGCTGGAGGACAGATTAATGCATCTAAGGAGGGAGAAAGACTGAAACATTCATTCCTAAGGTGCTCAGGTCCAAAAACCAAAACCTCAGTCTTGTCTGTTCAACAGGAGAAAATTAAGGGTCATCCAGGTTTTTATGTCTTTAAGACATGCTTGTAGTCTAAGTAGCTGATTGGATTCATTGGGTTTAATGGACAAATATAATTGTGTGTCATCAGCATAACAATGAAAATGTATCTCATGCTGTTTACCTTACCAGATGCCCGAGCCACCTCAACTGGCTCCTCTCGATGTGGAGAAGCAGCAGCTCTACTCTGAGTTCCTCCCGGATGACCTAGCTTCTCATCCTATCTCTAAGGGAGAGCCCAGACACCCTGCGGAGAAAACTCATTTCTGCCGCCTGTATCTAAGATCTTGTTCTTTTGGTGTTGGACTGGATCGGGTGACAAATCTATTGTACCTTCAGTTTGTCCCTCCTGTTCCTCCTGGAGGACTGTATGTGATGTTTGGACCATCATGTCAAATAACTGAACTGGTTCTGATGATTACTACCTCCAAACTGATCCACACATGCTTACATGTGTAACTGAGTCTTGTGTACCACAAGGTTAAGTGTTAGGACCCACCTTCTTCACAGTCTATATAAGTAATGTAGGTCCGATCGTCCCTGATGCATCCTTACATTTCTATGCTGATGGCACAGTTGTTTGTTCTAGAATTGCGCCGCTCAAGGTGGCTGCATGTTGGAGCAGCTCTTACTTTCATTCTGAGATTTTGCTTTTGGAAACTTTAATTCCTTTTTTCTGGATGTAAATCCCTTTTTTTCAGATGATTACTTCCTTTGAAGTCAGTTGCTGTGCAGCTGGAAGGATTTTTACTGAAACATTTTTTACTTTTGGACATTTGTAATGATCCAATGTTAGGATCACAGCTTTGGATCCTTCCAGGGCTTGTTGAATTCAGAGAACCATACTGGTGTTCTGTTGCTAAAGACATGTGGAGGTCTCCCTCCTTTGCTGAAGAAATGCCACCTGAGCGACATGGATCTGATTTAGAACCACACCTGAACAAGACCTGGGTCAGATCCTGCTCAGACTCATGAAACCATCTGAGTTGGGTCACATCTGCCTAGAGTGAAAACAAAGCCTCAGATACACTAAAGGAGGAGTCTAGCCTACAGGTAGTGACATCACACAGGTGATGATGTCACGCTCTGTTCAGGTGTGCTACTGTCACCTGTCTCTCCCATGGCATAGAGAGTGTAGCCATCAATCTGAAAGAAGTTCGGGAAACGTTCTCGATTGATCCACGCCTTCAGGTCACCGTCAAGTTCCTCTGAAACACAGAACCAGATCCATGAGTCCCACCTGATTGGTTGGATGTGATGTCATCAATTATAGGTCAAAGGTCACACCAACACTGTAGACACCTGTTGATCATCTTACAAACATGTTTAAAAAGTTCTGTGTTCAATCATATATGGTTCCTGAGTGGACATGTTCTGCTCTGTCCCTCAGTGAGGACCAGGACTCTGGACGTGTCCCTTAATGTCTCACCACTGTAGATGTAGAATGTCCCATCTTTAAAAATCAAAACCGCAGGCAGCGAGGTCAGAGTCACAGTCTGAAACACAAATTAACCACAGTCTTTAAACACAACACAGTCTGAAACACAAATTAACTAGTCTTTAAACACAACACAGTCTGAAACACAAATTAACTACAGTCTT